GCAGGTAATGTATTCCTTGGTTTTTGTTAACAACAAGTAGATGTCTGATCTTCCTGCCAAGGCAGCCAGATGAAAATTAAATTTGTGTCTAAGCGGCGCAGAACTTTCAAATAACAGCCACAAAGGCATAGGGCATTTTTCCTTCCCCTCTTATTTCCTTGACTTTCTTTCAAGATAAGCATGTGTGACTTGGCTGTCAGTGCAGCTGTAACTCATCAGTGAAAAGAAATCAGTGCCTAATACATAGAATCAGATATTTCAAGAAGGCAATGGCAAAAAATCACCTTTTCTTTATGTAGATGAATGTGTCTGTTCACAGAATACCGTTTCTATTAGCAAGGTACCGTAAACTTGCTGTCCAGGGTGGGTAGAAAGAGCATGTAAAAATTGAAATCATTACCTAGGTATTGTTAGGATTAAGAGGCTTTTATCAGGACAGACCCTGGAGTCAAGAACTCACAAGTCTGTATCTTTGATGTTGATAAGTGGGAGGTGAAGGAGCTTGAAGCTCAGACTCAGGGGAGCTTCACAACGTGCTCCTGGGCTACGTGGAGCATCTAGCTATCAATACAGTGTTATACACTTCAGGGAAAAGAAGAATAATCAAATACTCCTTGGTATGCATGGCCTCAGCCTGGGAGGGATGCTTTTGTCTTGTTTGTTTGGGTTTTTTGACTGCAGATCTGAGTGGGAGAGAAGGGTTTCAGCTATTTTTAAATAATAATAATAATAATAATAATAATAATAAACAATCAAACCAAAAGCCTTTGGCATATTCAGAGGGTTTTGTACTCAGATTCCTTCACTCTGGTAAATCATACCAGTATTCATCAGGTGAGTTGTTCCTCATTGAACCTAATAACTTTGCTTATTTTCAAATCTTTTACTGCTAGAAAATGTGAAGGTAGCATTGTTTGGCCTTGGCAATTACGTAGCTCAGCGTTCCACGAATGCCTGTTGGCAAACAAGGAACAAAACCAAGTACGAAGTGCCCATTCGGACTATCGAAAGAGCGGCCCCGTACTCCCCACAGCCTGTCAGGGCGGTCACTGGCACCGTATGTTCCAAATCCATGTCTTTCCAGAATTTTAAGAGAACAACTGGAGTGGCATTGTTCTGCATTTGGATATCCTCAGACTGAGCTTATGGCCTCTTGCTTGCAGAAGGGGCAGCAAGCGCGAATCAGGTGGGTGCAATAACTCCTAAAAGCATTTATTGGGTCCCAAGGCACTGGGTAGCATGAAACTCCCTCGGGTATTGTTTGCCAACGAGTAGTCTGATAATAAATGCTCTTCTCCTGCATTTCATTAGGCCGGTACGGTGTACCGTCGCTCAGTATCCTACCAAATCAGCTCACGAGGGGGTGGAGAATCGGGGAAATGTAGCACTGGCGTTGAGCGTCTGATTTTCCTCCCTAGGCTATAATACACGCAGGACAAACGTGGTTTGAAGACACCATCTTTTGATGACGTAGTAGGCTCTGAAGGTGATTCTGGGGCAGCATCTAGGAAAGAGGTATGATAGCGTTTAATAAAATGCGTGAGATGAATAGACCTGATTGGGAAACAGGAGTCCAACCAATGGACAAGAAAATGGCCAAACTGCTGTATATTTTTCAGCTCCTTTTAAAATCTCCTTTTTTCCTAGAGACTTTGTTTCATTTCCCTTCAATTATTTCATTTCTTTTTCATTTCTCGTTTCTCTGGATATTGTTTGAAAAGCTGCTGTTTCGGTTTTGACCTGAAAGGGGGAAAAATGGGTTTGCAATATTTTTATCTTCTTTATGAAGTATAAAGGGGGGCTTGAAAGGTGAGCTTAAAAGTACATCATCTTATTTTATTCCCTGGAAATATCAGAAATGTCAAGCTTGACTTTCATATTTCTATTAAAAAGCTCCTTGTGTTACTGAGAAATGAGGACTGAAAGGCTTTTTTTTAGCCCTTAATTGAGGGGGCAATAATTCTGATGTCTCTTACAAAGAGAGCTTTTCTTCCTAAGTATTTGACTTAACAGGTACAAACAGAAACCACAGGGTTGTAAATCCTCTGAATAAAAATCACTCCCCTCCTTAAACATGGCCTCCTTGCATGGTATCTCTGAAGCCATAAACTCTCCTGTTAGCCAGAGCAGACAAGACCTGTAATGTAAGGTGTCAAAAACAAACAGGAAAAGTTATCTTTAAACAAAACAGCCCAACTTGTTATCCCATTTTTATAACTGGCTAAAAGCGTACAAAGTATTTTTTATGTAGGTCATCTTTAATAGTTTGTATAGCTGCGTTTTTTAACTCTTCTACGTACAGTTGAGAAACTATTCTTTAAATAACTCCAAGTCAGGATGCTTATTCTCAATTTAGCTTTATATTGCTTATCTGTTCTTAAAGGCCATTGTGCCGTCAAAAGGTGTCCTGGGTAAGAGCTTCATCCTGAGAGATACTAAACACCTACAGTGCCACTCGGTAGCTCTCAGGACACGTCTACACCTGACGCCTGTTGCAGGTTTTGCATACAGCAATCTGCAGGTGAGGGCACCGATGGCTTAGCTACTGCAGCTTAGCATTTATTTGCCACTGGGTAAGAGCGAGTACAGGAACAACTGACAAGTGGCAAATAGATTTTTAGAAGAAGGCATGATGGGAGTTTACTACGCATGGATTTTGCTACTGTGCATGTGAGGATTTGATGACAGTGGGGGCTGAGATTTTACGGAACTGCGAGAGATTCAAGTCCGTGAATGTCAACACGTTTTCAGTTGTTTTGAAGAAATAATTAATGCATCCAATTGAATGTTGTGAGCAATAAAAATAGCTCTTGAATGTACAGAAGGCTGTACAAAGTCAAAACCCAGCAACAAACACATCGTTGCATGCAAACACGTTTGTGCTGTCCAGGGCAGAACTGTGCTTACGTTGAGGGGGAAAAAGGTTGCCTATCTTAGAACCATAGGTAAGTAGGTCGGAAAAGGGCATTTATATGTGTGCTCTGGGAGTGGGAAAGGCGCTTTAATTAGAGCAGCTCTAATTAAAGCGCCCAGAGCAGCATGTGTATCCGCGTCCCTGCGCTGACAGATGGCGGCAGGGGTGCTTTTACTAAAGCTCGTTGAACGAGGTGATAGAATTCACTATCCGTTGTAGGGCAGGGATGTCAGCCAGTAGGGCAGAGGTGCTTGACTTCGGAAGGATGACTTCAATGCACTTAGGAAAATAGTGGGAGAAACCCTATGGGAAGAGGGACTGGAGGGGAGGGGAGTTCAGGAAGGGTGGTCGATCCTCAGAGCACGGAAAAGGTCCATTCTTGCATGCAGGAAAGGTGGTAAAGGGGCCGGGAAGCCCTTTTGGCTTACCCGAGGCATCAAGGAGCGCTTAAAAAAAGAAAAAGGAGGCTTACAGATGGTGGAAATAAGGGTAGTCACCAAGGAGGAATACACAAGTATAGCCTGTATTTGTAGGGAGATGATAAGGAAGGCAAGGGCAGCGACCGAGATCAGGTTGGTGATTGAAATCAAGACAATAAGAAGTCCTTCGTTAGGTATACAGGGAGCAGGAAATGTGGGGCCCTTGCAGAGTGGGACGGGAGAGCTGATAGCAGACAGTCAGGAGAAAGCTGAACTTGTTCATGAATACTTTGCGTCGGTGTTCCTGCATACGAACGGTGGTCGCCCGCCTGGTCGGATACTGGACAGATGCATGGGGGGCGATTACCAACCAATGGTCAGTGTTGAACTGGTGAGCAAGCACTTAGAGTGGCCAAATATCTTCAAGTTGGCAGGACCAGATGGACTATACTCGAGAGTGCAGAGGGAATTGGCTGGAGTCATTGCAGGACTGTTGGCGAAGGTATTTGAAGACTTGTGGTGCTCAGGAGAGGTCCCAGAAGACTGGAAAAGGGCCAATGTGGTGCCAATCTTAAGAAGGGGAGGATCCGGGAAACTATAGGCCAGTCAGTTTGACCTTGATACTGGGTAACATTTTGGAAAAAAGTATTAAGATGTCCATTTGTGAGAGTCTGGCAGAAGGCATGATGCTGAAGGATAGCCAGCATGGTTTTGTTGCAGGCAGGTCCTGTCTGACCAACCTCGTCTCCTTCTACGATCAAGTAACAAACTGCTTAGATGTGAGAGATGCAGTTGATGTCATAAAAACGATTTGATATGGTCTCCCATGATGCTTTTATAAAAGAACGGGGGGGTTGTGGGCTGGCAGAGTCCACGGTCAGGTGGGTTGGGAACTGGCTAAGGGGTTGAACCCAGAGAGTGTTAGTGGATGGGTCTGTATCGTCTTGGTGGGAGGTGGCCAGTGGTGTCCCGTGGGGTTCAGTTCTTGGCCCCGTGCTGTTCAACATCTTTATCAATGATTTAGATGAGGATGTGATAACCACGCTGGCCAAGTTTGCAGATGTTACTAAGTTACGGGGAAAAGCGGTCACGCTAGAGGATAGGATCCAAGCGGACCTGGACACACTGGAAAGGTGGGCAGAGCAGAACCAGATGCAGTTCAATATTTGATTTTTGTTTTGTGTGTGCTTTGGCACCACTGAATTATGTTCCCGCTAAATTGCAGCTTCTTTGCACGGTGGAGTTTGCTGCTGCAGAAGAAAACCCCGGTGTAAAAGAATTCCCGCCAATTTGTAGCTTTCTTTGCAATGTGCATTTCTTTTGCATCTGAGAAATGCTCATTGCAAAGAGTTCCGCCATTCGTATTCTAATTTGTGCCCCACCATTGGCCAGTTCTAAATTATTCATACGTGGTGGCTAGCGATTGGCTTGCTAGCCGTATAAAAGGTTTGAGTGGTTTCCGCCCAAGTTGGAGGACTCCACGAACACCAGGAGGAGGAGACTTCACGCTGTGTGAAGGTCTCTAAGCGCTGCAGAGTTTAAACGGACCCACGGAGCTTCTACAACTCCGTGGGAGAGAAATCGAACCCAGCGCATTTAAAGAAGGCAACAGAGGTCTGATCAGCCTCTAGCCTCTCCCCGTCACCGAGCGCAATCCTTGACGTATCCCTCTTCCCTGTGCACAAAAGGATCCACGGAGCCTAGCAAACTTCGTGTGAGTCTATTCAGAGCTCTTTGTCTCGACTACTTTCTTCGGTTGGCGCGACAGGCTCGTGGTTTAGAGCCTCCAACCGGACGGGCTAGAAGAGTGTTCACGGGAAGGAACTCTAGTCCACCTCTCGTCTTTTCTATCTGTAACTGCAACTCAAGCAAGTTTTCCAGCCTACACCGCGACCATCTTCGGTGCAAGTAAACAATCTTTAAATCAACTATTAAGCGTCCGTGCCTAATTCTAGCGTGTCGCCCGTTCTCTCCGACCCCGCATGCCCGGGCTGCTGGCCACAGCCCGCGCAGAGCACAAAAAGGGCCCGGATCGCTCCCAGCCCGCACACGGGTCATGGCTGATCACAGGATGAACACGAGCTGCCAGTGCGACGCTGTAGTCAACAGAGCTAACAGCATCCTGGGATGCATTAGCCAGTGTGTCTCAAGCAGGGTAAGGAAGTGATACTTCCTCTCGACTCGGCACTGGTGAGAGCCCAGCTGCAGTACTGTGTCCAGTTCTGGGCGCCACACGTCAAGGACGACATGGAGGATCTTGAAAGGGTCCAGAGAAAGGCCACACGAATGATTAAGGGCCTGGAGGACAAACCTCATGAAGAAAGGCTAAGGGATCTGGGACTGTTCAGCCTGGGGAAGAGAAGACAGAGGGGGACTTTGTGGCCGTCTATAAATGTGTAAGGGGTGAATATTGGGAGCTGGGAGAAAAACTGTTCACTAGGGTGCACCAGGGGAGGCCAAGGAGCAATGGCTATAAACTGTTAGAGGATGGTTTCAGATTGGATGTAAGGAAGAATGTCTTTACGGTACAGGTGACCCGAATCTGGACTAGACTTCCCAAGGAGGGGGTGCAGTCCCCAACCTTGGACATCTTCAAGAGTAGACTGGACACACACCCTGCTGGGACCATTGATCTCCGCAGTACTCCTGCCCGGAGCAGGGGGTTGGACTCAACGATCTTACGAGGTCCATCCAGCCCTGCATGTCTATGATTCTGTGCTGCCATTTTTCAGCACGGGGATGCTGATACACGTGATGCTGGAGTCTGTGATAGTTACCACACCCCAGCAGACTTGATTACTCGAGTCTGCTCCCATGTGCTGTAATGACAGCATGTCAAACAGCATCACTGCACGTGTATAGGTGCCCAATAAGGGACCTCAGGAGGTCTTTGGAAGGGACCTCAGGAGGTCTTTTAGTCCACCCCCCTCCTCAAGGCAGGATCATCCTTTCTAAACTATTCCAGCCAAATGTTTGCCTGTTCTTCACTTAACTTCCATTGATGGAAATTATACAGGTTCTCTAAGTAATCAGTTCCAATAATTAATCACCTTCATAACTGGAAAGGCCTTTCTATATGCAGCCTAAATTTCCCTTGTTCCAACAAGAAGTCCATTACTTCTCTTGTCCCCTGTGGAGAAGAGGGTGGTTGTTCATCATCCTTTTCATAACAACTTTCGTTTTTCTGTCTTTGAAAACTTATTGAATCCCTCATCAGTCTTGTCTTTACCAGACTAAATAATGCCAGTTCTTGTACCTCAAGGTTCTGAGACCTGTAATCATTTTTGTTGATCTCTGAGCTTTTCCCAGCTTGTCCACATCTTTCTTAAAGTGGGGTGCTCATAGTTCTCCATGTCAGGCCTCATCGGTGCTGAATAGAGTGGAAGCATTGCTTCTGATTTGCACGAAATCATAGAATCATAGATGACAAGGGCTGGAAGGGACCTCAGGAGGTCACATCTTGTCCAACCCCCTGCTCAGAGCAGGACCAGCCCCAACTACATCATCCCAGCCAAGGCTTTGTCTACCTGCATCTTAGAAACCTCCGAGGATGGAGACTCCCCCGCCTCTCTGGGTAACCTGTCCCAGTGCTTCACCACCCTCCTAGTGAGAGAGTTTTTCCTAATATCCAACTTCAACCTCCCTTGTTGCAGCTTGAGCCCATTGCTCCTTGTCCTGTATCTGCCCCCACTGAGACCAGCCCCGCTCCATCCTCTTTGCAGCCCCCCTGCAGGGAGGTGACGGCTGCTATTCAATCCCCCTCAGTCTTCTCATTTCCAAACTAAATAAACCCAGTTCCCTCCCCCTCTCCTCACCAGTCCTGTCCCCCAGCCCACAACCATTTTCATTGCCCTCCGCTGGACTCTCTCCAATGTGTCCACATCTGTTCTATAGTGAGGCACGCAAAACTGGACACAGGACTCCAGATGTGGCCTCCCCGGTGCTAAATAGCGGGGAAGAATCACTGCCCTCGACCTGCTGGGAACGCTCCTACCAATGCAGCCCAGGATGCCAGTCACCTTCTTGGAAACCAGGGCACACTGCTGGCTCCTGTCCAGCTTATTGTCCACTGTCACCTCCAGGTCTTTGTCTGCAGAGCTGCTGCCCAGCCCGTCACCCCCAGCCTGCACCGGTGCATGGGATTGTTCCATCTTCAGTGCAGGATTTTGCACTTGTCCTTGTTGAACTGCATGAAATTTCTTTTGGTTCAATCTTCCAATTTGCCCAGGTCTCTTGAATCCTAGCACTACCCTCCAGTGTATCTTCTACTCCCCACAGCTTGGTGTCACCTGCACACTTGCTGAGGGTGCACTCCCTCCCCTCTTCCAGGTTGTTGATGAAGATATTGAACAAAACCAGTTCCAGGACCAACCCCTAGGGCATGCCACTTGATACCAGCTGCTAACTAGACGCTGAGCCATTAATTACTACCCGTTGATTCTGATGATCCAGCTAGTTTTCTATCTACTTAACAGTATATTCATCCAACCTGTTCTTCCTTATCTTGATTGCAAGAATGTTGTAGGAGACTTCAAAGGCCTTGCTAAAATCAAGGTATATCACATCCACCTGTCTCCCCGCAGCCACAGAGCCAGTCATCTCATCATAGAAGGCAGTCAGGTTGGTCAGGTGTGACTTGCCCCTGGTGAATGCTCCTCTTAAAACAAGCCAGCAGGCTGTTGGGTTTTTGCTGCATTCTTAGGCTCCTGACTCATTCATCTTACTGTCTGCTATAACCCCTGAGCCTCTGTCTGCAGTTCTGCAGCTTAGCCCATTCGGTATTTGTGCATTTGGTTGTTCTGTCTTTAAGTGCAATAATTTTACACTTGTCCTCACTGAATTTCATCTCATTCATTTCAGGCCATTTTTCCCCCAAATAACCAGCATTTTTAATCCTAATTCATTCCTCTAAAGCATCTGCTATCCCACCCAGCTTGGTGTCATCTGCAGATTTACTTAAGTATCAGCTTGGTTTTAGCCTTCAGGTCATTAAGGGGGATTTCGAACAGTTCTGGATTGGGAATAGGGAGATCCCATTTGATGCGTGGGGTCTGGAATGGTGGTAACAAATGGTGAAGGGTTTTCACCAGAAGACATGGCTATCAGAGGGAGGGCTACAGGGCACCCATAGGTTGCTGTGGAGTTCATGACCATGGCCCCACCATGTTCTACAGGAGCCTTTGTCTCTTTCTCATTCCCTTTGGCTGCACGTGTTGAGGTCCTATGCAGTTGCCTACCCTCTCTGTCTCTCTGTTTTGCCATGCTTTAGGAAACTTTCCCTTGCTCTTCCATCTTTTTTATCCTGTGCTATGAAGCAGACAGTTCTTTAAATGGATCTGTTCCTCTACCATAGCTTGGTTAAGCAGTTGCTCCATGTTAACAGCTTTGTCTGTGATTGTCACAACATGTCAGTCGAAAGAAAAAGAGAAAAAGGACAACCAGCGATTGTCCAGATTGAAGTGTCTATGACATCAGCAACAAAGTGTTTTTTTCTCTTTTCATTTTAGACTTCCATGCCCAGAGGTTCTTCCCAGTCTCTAGAGATGGTCAGATGGCTTTTTAAACTTCTAACTTGTGAATAAAGAGTGTGGTTGTGGCTGTCGTGACAAATTGGGTTTAAGGTATTAATAAATACCTGGACACCTACAGAAGCTTTTGCTGGGATGTGGGTGCAGGAGAGGCAGCAGAGGCAGGTTAGTAATTGCAGCCCTGTGGGCTGTCCTTAAGCTGTGTCTTCCAAAGCCAAAGGAGGATTCGGTTCCAAAAGTCAGCGAGCAAGTCCAGGAACTACACCATGTCACTGTTTGCCAACGTGTTGTCCACAGCCTCAGTGAAGAACAGGAAGTGCAAACTGTAAAGATAGTGTTGCAAGGCGACACACTCTTCAGGCCAAAACTACCTTTTACTTTAGTTCTCTTTTCTTAATACTCATGGCTCAGGTGCACAGCAAAATAGGTAGAATTCTGCAGTAGCCCAAAGTATGTGTGTCTGAGGAGGGAAGTAGGGGGCGTAAATCTCCCACATTTGTTTAAATGTTTGCATGGGGTGACTTGGACAATTCTCTTTGCAATGCCTTATGTTTGGGACCAACTGGCTAAGCAGCAGCTCTGCAGAAAAGGACCTGGGGTTACAGTGGACAGTCAGATGGCTATGAATCAGCAGTGTGCCCTTGTTGCCAAGAAGGCTAATGGTATACTGGGCTGCATTGGTAGGAGCATTGCCAGCAGGTCGAGGGCAGTGATTCTTGCGCACCCCACTACAGAAAGGATGTGGACACATTGGAGAGACTCCAGTGGCGGGCAGTGAAAATGGTTGTGGGCTGGGGGACAGGATTTCTGAGGACAGGCTGAGGGAACTGAGTTTATTTAATCTGGAAAAGAGAAGACCGAGGAGGATTGAATAGCAGCCTTCACCTCCCTGCAGGGGGGCTGCAAAGAGGATGGAGCTGGGCTGGTCTCAGTGGGGGCAGACGACAGGACAAGGAGCAATGGGCTCAAGCTGCAGCAAGGGAAGTTGAGGTTGGATATTAGGAAAAACTCTGTCATGAGGACTGTAGTAAAGCACTGGGATGGGTTACCCAGAGAGGTGGCGGAGTCTCCATCCTTGGAGGTTTCTAAGACCCAGCTCAACAAAGCCTTGTCTGTGATGATGTAGTTGGGGCTGGTCCTGCTTGGAGCAGGGGACTGGACTGGATCTGACCTCCTGAGCTCCCTTCAACCCTTGTTTTCTATGATGTATTATCTTTGATTCTATGTCGGCTCAAAGCTGAGAGCATTTGTAAAACCATGATCCAGGAAAATGATTCTAGTAGTTTTCCTTTTCTACAGCAAAAAGGTCATTTCTTCAAATCATTTCCCTCTTTTTTTGTAACCCTTGTCATGCTTTCATTTTATGTAGAAGAAGGGCTCAGAGGGGGGTAGCTGATCAGGTGGGAGGCAGAGCACTAAATACCACATTACAGGAGAACAGGGCAGGACGCAGAAAGCAGCCAGTTTTTAAGGCATGAAGAGATGGAGAGCTTTTGCATGTTCCTGTATGGCTGCCATTTTGAGCATGGGGTTGGAAGGGTAGATCAGAACGGTGGCAGTTCCCAGCAGTAGGTTGTTTAAATCTCCCAATCCAGCTACACTGCGATATATCATGCAATATTTACTAAAAGAAATATTTTCAGATTTGAGTCTGCCCCTGATTTAATTTAATTTAATCCTGGCAGTGACTTGGAGGACTTCTGGTCCTGCCTTGGAGTTCGCTGGGTGAACTCCTAGATTTTGGGATCCATTTCTTGTCTACAACACAATTGATATCATTGGGGGTGTTATAAATGGTGTCCACAAAATCCAAGGGTTGAGTTGTAGGTTCTCTAGCAAACATATGGTCCAACTCCTCTCAGCAGCTGCAGATCCTGTGGTGTCTCCCAGGGGCCCCATTATTGTCTTGAACACTCTTACAGCACAGCTGGAGTTCCTTCCCTGTATTTTGGCATTGGCTTGGATTTCAATTGTTCTCTTTTTTTCTGCATCTGTTCTGATAACTGCTTGTGTATCTCTCTGTTACAAATGAGCCTATACGTGCTGAGTAAATGAGGTCCAGGAGCTCTGCAAATAACCCCCACAGAAGCCTGAGACACGACTGCTGAATAATCAGGAGCGTCGCAGAGGTATAAGAACCACACAACGGAGGACCACAACTAGCTACAAGCCAACCTTTAAACGGGGAAGTGATGTCCAGTCAGGATGACCTTAGAGCAGTAGAGGCGCACAGTGAAACGGAAAAGGACAACGCAGGCACCCAGCAAAGCAGTGCAGGATACCAGCGGGGTACTTGGAAAACATGTAACATTTGTTTGGGGAGGGAGATGCAACTCCTCATGCTTTTTTTATGCGTAGACTCATCCCACTTCTTAGTAAATCTGCTTCCACGGTGGATTTAGTAGTGCCAGATGACTTTGTTTGTAGACACAAGACACTTTAATGTGAAATAACTAATTAAACTGCAACAAACTCAAGTATAAACAAGTCCTCAGGGTCAGGGCCTAAGTGTTCTTTTGTCAGAGCTATTTGCTATGACTATCTATCTTAGGTTTTCTGTTTAAAAATAAAACCATAGAATGGTTCATTTTCATAGTTTCATAGTTTCTAGGGTCAGAAAGGACCTGAACAGATCATCAGGTCTGACTCCCTGCCCTGGGCAGGAAGGAGTGCTGGGATCGTAATACCCCAGCCAGATATCTATCCAACCTCCTCTTGAAGACCCCCAAGGTAGACGAGAGCACCACCTCCCTTGGGAGCCCATTCCAGAGCCTGGCAGCCCTAACCGTAAAGTAATGCTTCCTGATAGCCTGAGCCTGAGCCGGCTCTCAATCAATCTGTGGCCATTATTCCTTGTTAGCCCAGGTGGTGCCCGGGGGAACAGAGCCTCACCTATTTTCCGCTGGTCCTGCATGGTGAATTTATAAATCCCCTCTTAGATCCCCTCTCAGTCTTCTCTTGTGAAGGCTGAACAGGTTCAGGTCCCGTAGCCTCTCCTCGTAGGGTCTGCCCTGCTGTCCCCGGATCATGTGAGTGGCCCTCCTCCGGACCCTCTCAGTGCTGTCCACATCCCTCCTTAAGTGCGGCGCCCAGAACTGGACGCAGTACTCCAGCTGCGGCCTGACCAGCGCTGCATAGAGGGGGAGGATCACCTTCCTGGACCTGCTTGTGATGCATCTGTAGATGCACGACAAGGTGCAGTTAGCCTTACTTTTTAACACATTAGTTATTGACACTTTCGGTGGAAATACAAAAGTCAAGTGCAAAATCTTATGGCCATCTTTGATGCTCATTTATTCACAGTTAGTGTACATATTAAGTCTCCATTTGTAAAATGATTGTGTTAAATCCAAGTTCTTTCAGGAATGATATTGATACAAACACCTTTAGATGGGTATAACTACCTCCACATTAGGGGGTTGCACTATATCTGTTTCTGAACCCGTGTAACTGAATCTGTACAAAAACTGTGTGGAGACAAACCTCACTAATTATACTCTTATTAATTATACAGCAGTACAGATATGCGTGGGACTATAAGATATACAGTAATGCACATTCATATCCTGAAGAGCTTCCAGTTAAGAGGAAACAGAAAAGGGATGGGAAAAAAGAGCTCGGGACCAGGAATGTGTTGATAGGAGAACAAACGGTGAAGGAGTCCATGAAAGAAGTGTCTTAAAAAAGAGGTTTGAAAGGGAGCTGGCTGGAGTTTGGTCCAAGTCCCGGGGGTAGTGTGCACTATAGTGAAATGCCCCTGTGGCGTGATATAATGACCAGTCATCGCCAGATGTGGTTGTTTGAAATGCCTTCACATCATCGTCATGGAGTGGTTCTGCTCTCCTTGACTGCGTGAGCTTGGAACTCGGGCACAGCGTTGTCCAACAGGGCTGTCCAAATGCTCTGAGTTGGTACAGAGTTATAGATCACCCTAAATCACCTTTCAAGAAAGCATCCTGAAGAAGAATCTGATCCATCTGCTACCATCTGTAAGTTGGAGCTTGTTCTGATGCCGTGCCCATCACCATCGGAGCTGCGCACCCAGCAGGTGAAGATGGAGAAATTCAGAAGAGTTTGGGATGTCTGTGTTTCGTCTCTGTGTGGCGGTCTTGCTGCTCTCCAGAAGCAAGCAGCATATAAGCAGAAAAATGTCAGAACCCATCTTTGGATGGGGAAGAGGAAACAGTTTAGAAGGTAAAGCCACCCAGGGTGACAAGTAGGTACACTACCCTACCCTATTTTTCTATGATGCTAGCCCTCCAACAACTATTCCATTGGAGACAGGAAAGCTGACTTGCTGACAGTATGCTGAAAGTCAAGCTTTTTCTACTGGGTTGGCAGCTCTATATAATGAGTTTGTTTTACTCTGCCACCATCTATAAGTTGGAAGACTCCAGGTAGAAATTAAGGTGCAAAAGGTAGTTGAAATTGGATGGTCAGTTTAATCTCTGAATGATTCTCATTGCAAAGTAGTTTTCATTCCTTTTCTAAAAAATTCTGCATTTTGACTCAGCTGAAGGACACGTACGTTCAAGTCTTCTTGTTCAACTCATCAGTGAGCAAAAATATAATTTTGAGAGGAAGGCAATAAACTTCCAGAATTTCCCCCCCCCAAAATTTATTCTTTCTTTGACTTCAGTTTTTGGTACTCAAAACCTCTCAGAATAAAGACCTGTCTTATTTCTTATTTTAGGCTCTAATCTCAGATATGCTATTACTGGTAAGAAAAGAAAAGAAAGCAAGTGTGTCAATCAGAAAATGTTAATTTGTTCAAATTGAAATGTTTTGTTAGAATGTGTTGACTTCAACAAAATGTGATGGAAATACTTCAAGATTATTCCAAATTAAAATGAAGTACTCTGCTTCACCTTTGTCAGTTTACTTTGGCTTTTATATTGTAAAATATTTTTTATAATATTATAGTTGATGGGATCCAGTGCACGCTTAAACAATTTGCAGACAACACCGAGTTGGGTGGTGTTGCAGATACTCTAGAGAGCAGGGCTAGGATCCATGATGTGACATGAATAGACTGGAGAAATGGTCCACAGTCAGTCAGATGAGATTTAACAAGGGCAAGTGCAAAGTCCTGTCCTTGGGACAGAATACCCTCATGCACAAATGCAGACTGGCTAGGCTGCAGTACTGCAGAGAAGGACCTGGGGCTTACAGGAGACCAGAAGCTGAATGTGAGCCAACAGTGTGCTGTGCCTTGTTGCAAAAGAAGCCAACAGCATCCTGGGTAGTCTTAACTGGAGCGTCACTTGCAAATCAAGGGAAATCAAGGCACTGGTAACGTCTCACCTGGAGCACTGTGTCCAGTTTTTGGCCCCACACTTCAAGAAAGATGTGAACAGTTTGGAAAGAGTCCAGCACAGAGCAACAAATACGATTTAGGGCCTGAGAGGCAAGACTTATGCGGAAAGGCTGAAAGAACTAAGGTTATTTAGTCTGGACTACAGAAGACTGTCGGGGGAGTTGATAAACATCTTAAAATGGCTTCAGGATGACTCCAGAAAGGATGGAGCTTGGCCTATCTGTGTGGTCGGAGGGGACGGGACTAGGAGCAAGGGTCTCAAGGTGCAGCAGGGGAAGTTTAAGTTGGAGATTAGGAGGAACTTCCTGACTCGGAGGGTGGTCGAGCATTGGAACAGGCTGCCTAGAGAGGCTGTGGAATCTCCATCCTTGGAAGTTTTCAAGAGCAGGTTGGGCAGACTGTGACGGGGAAGTCTCAAGGCTGGTCCCAATGCCGGCCTGCCCACCTGTCTAGGCCAGTCCGCCCTCTCTCATCTGCCACGTCTTGCTGTTTTAAAACTGATACAAAAATATAGGAGGCTGCCCATTAAGTGCCCTGATGCCTAGGGCATTATACACGGCTCCTACCTTCCCTTTACTGTGTCCCATTGCTTGCAGATGGCATCCAAAATCATAACTCTGCCACAGGTGTCCTGGCACATGCCTGGGCCTCCTGCCCTCTCACCAGGGCGTCCACTTATGCTCTCTCACTAGGGCCTTCAATTTCTCATCAAGCTCTTGGGGCTGTCCTGTGCACAGTCCTTCAGGCCGCACTGGTGACCCTACTCTGCACAGCCCTTCCGTGCACTCTGCACCCCATCACTAGAGCCACTATTCCACTCCCTCGCTGGGGCCACTCTTTGGACCTCCATGGCTGAGACCTTGGGATCTTACACCCCACAGGACTCAGGTCTCTCCCTAGACATGCCTGGCTCCCTGCCTGTCCTTACTGCTGGGTTACTTACCAGGTTGTGGGCACTGAGGCTGTAAGGTGCCCCTTACTCGCCTTTCACTAGGGAGGCAATTGGTGTGGCATTTCCTAGGGACCATCCTGCCACAGGTAGCCCTACCACACCATCCCGCCCTAGCAGGGTGTAGTTTCAGGTCATGCCCCAGGGCCAGGAACCTCCTCCATCCCCATAGTTCCTGCCCTCTACCTCCAAGGATGTTATGTGAGCAGCAGCTCCAGCTGGGTGATATTCCCTTTCTGGCTGCTTGCAGCAAACTGCTGGCTCTGCTGCCCAGTGCCCACTCTTATCCCTAGCAGCTGTGCTCTCTTCCCAATCAGGCAGCCTCCTGCTGGCCATGTAACTCCTGATTGGGAGTGCAGCCACCTGCAGGCTGCTCTGCTACTTGCTCTAAGCCCTTAAAGTGGCAGGCACCAAAAGTGCCCTGCCACACAGACCCTTGGCTGAGATGGTTTAGTCAAGGAGGATCTTGCCTTGAGCAGGGCCCTGGACTAGATGTCCTTATGAGATCCCTTCCAGCCATACTTTCCTTTGAGCCTATGATCCTATTTATGTAACATCAATCATATTATTATATACATCATATACATTAGGGCTGTGGGAAACAGCACCGTTCTGTTTCACCTTGAGTTTTGATGGTTCGATGGAACAGCGTTCCATTTCAAATTTCATTTCGAGTCGAAACAGCTGTTTCGATGCATGCATACGATATCATGTTGTTATAAAACATTATGTAGATATCTCAGCATCAAAATGGAACCTTTTGTCATTGACAAAGTGAAGCATATCAATAAGATTGTTTTAATGTTGTGAATTTAAATTTTCAGAATTTTCATTTTGGAAAAAAAATGGAAATTTCATCCTAGTTCAAGTTGAAAACAAATTTTGAATGATCAGAATTTTGCTTGGGATAGAAATGATCTGTTTTTCACACATAGATACAATTTCATTGACTACTTGTATTCATAAACCTAAGCAGCTACAGAAGTGCAGAGTCTGGGCCTCAAACCAGTAAAAGGCAATGCACTTTTACTTTAATCAGTAATTTCTGGATCAGTTATTCAGGTTTCCTAATTTTTTTAAAATAAAAGAATCTAACTTCCTTCCACCAGTTTACAGTGGTTGTAAATTCACCTTTCAATTAAAATAAGTTTAAAAATTTCAGCAGACAAAAGCAGTGTTGTAGCAGCCAAACTCCTATCCAATTAAATATTTACTATATTTATATATCTGGTGACCTAACCAGGAACTTGGAAGTGCTGATGCAAGCATCTTTAAAATGGCAAATCTTGTATTTCTGCAGACTGACAGTCCTGACCTTGGCCCGGCTGACCCTCCACCTCCCGCACCCTCACTTTGGTCTGACTCCCCTCGCGTTGGCAGTGTCGCTGCAAGACTTTCATCCCTAAAGCTTTCTTGGCTCTCATGGATTTAATTTCCAAAGATCTCTTGACAGGTGAAAATGTCTTTCTTTTGAAGTCCTCTTGAGAGGCAGATTCCCTATTGGTCTTCAGCTTGCCCCGCTGAACCCTGCCTTCTTTGTTTCTGTTTCTGTTTGGTTTATCCCTTATTTGGTTTAGCCTTTCCCACTGATTTTGCCTTAAAGAGTCTTCATTAATGAAGGAGAGTTCTTTAAATATTATTTTTCTTTGTGGACTGGCTCACGGTCCCTTGATCTTATGATGTTATCAGACTGAAAGGGAAAAATCTTTTAAACAATTTTCTGACTCCCCCTAGAGGATTTCTTTCTTTCACAGCCCAGAAATAGCACTAGTGTGAGAAATGCACATGTTCCGTCACTGCCCGCCCAGCCCGGATTCAGTGCACATTATATCTTTTTCAGTATCCACAGACAGCTTTTTTTTTTTAATTTCTGTCAGCTCCTGTTAATGAGCCCTTGATTCCATTCCCACTTTACTCTAAATATAAAAGCTTCTTGTCTGTTTTTCCGTAAGCGCTGTATGGGCCTGGCATTCTCTGCCAAACTAAATACTCTATCAAAATCATCACTGACCAAATATTTCCATTCTTGTGATGCAACTGACTGCTGTAGAATATGCTTTCTGAGAATACCCATCACCTAGAGACTTCAATTTCGATTTTTTAAAAATGCTTCATCTTCCTGCATAACATGCACAAAAGTTTCAGTGTTGTGAACAAGCCTCTCGTTTTCAGAGGAGGGCACAGGTTTTTTATCAAGAGCCGATAATACACAGATTCAGCTCTAGGGAGTATTTTCTTTTATAATACACCATGTAATGCTTCAGCCAATATAGAAATATCTTCTAAGTTCAGCAGATAAAGACACTTGGGTCTTCTTTATACAGGTCATGCCCTTTCTAGCGAACCGTAGCTAAATGTGGTTCTTGTCAGGAAGGTGCTAACATGGTCTCCATGCCCTGTGAAGAAAAATTCTCTGAGGTACTCTCCCTCTCTGCCAGTGCTCTCTTCATATGCATTTAAATGATATAAGAAAGTCATTACACATATTCCGGATGCATGACCCTACTTAACCATACAATACCCATCATTTGCCATAAGAGGGATCTGTTATTGGAACAGCATTAGCTGAATAGGAACTAAAAAGACCTCAGTCTCATTTTTTATCATCTCCTTTGAGCACAAAATTCATCCAGACTCTGATTGAGCAAACCATTATGAGATAAAGAGGGCAAATTAAGGCTAAAAGCTGGAGATGCATGCAGGTGTTCATTCTCCAGCTTGGACTGCCCTTAAACTACACTTTCTTTCCTAAGAAGTTCTGAAGTGACAGTTAAAAGTAGTAAAAAATAGTTAGCCGTGTTAGTCTGAAGTCAGCCAGAAGGCAGGGTAAATTAGCATTTTATAGTCTAGATTAACTTGGTGGTTCTCAACCTTTTTACACTTAAGGCACCCCTAAATAGATTCGAGGCACCCTGAATAGACTGAAGGCACCCCTTGGAAAGTGCCAGTTTAGTCTTCACTCTTTTTTTTTTTTGCCTACAGAATAATAATACAGCAGTTTTCCTGTCGCAAAGAACTCAGACCACAACTGTGTATTTTTGTTTGAAATCTCTGGGTTTATCTTGTGAATCGTTTGTAACCCTAATGGCATTAACACTATGTAGCAACCCCATGGCACCTTTGAAACTGAGAAGTACTGAATGAACTACATCAGAGATGCATAGCATAAGCTTTTAGAACCAGCAGGCTTTCTGCATCTTACTGCTTACTTACTACCTGCAAGTAGTGGCATAGTAATAGTGAGTGGAGTAGATTCTCCAGGTCCCCCTGTACAAAGTGCTGTGTAAGCTTACAGTGGAAGAGGACTTCCCATAAATGCTTAGTTTCTAACAAGTCGGGGACAGCCAAGTGGAAATGCAGAGGTGAAGAAATCAGAAATCCTCTTATTTAAATCATGTCAGCTAAGTATATGATACCAAATATTGATAATAAAAGTTAGCTAGCCTGCTACTAGTACCTGGGCTTGCCAGTTTACAGCTAGCTTATGCAAGTCCATGCTTTGCTAGAATCACAACGTGGTAGTGAGCGCAGGGTAAACATACCTTGTAATTTCTGTTGTGTATTTTTCTTTCCCTTGCACAATGGCACGGGCTCTGGGCAATG